TTCAGGTTAGACGCAAAGTGTAGTTCACTTTTTTTCGTTTATACGTAGATTTTCCAGACTACCAATAGAGCATATATATGAAATGTATTCATCATTTTCTGTTTAGAGTGAGTAATAAGGGGACTGGTAGCTGAACTTTCCCACAATGATATGAGTAGACCTTACGTTTCCATTGAATTTCGCATAGTCTTGCTTTTCCAAAAGGTATTCTCTTCCAGGCAGGAGTTGACTGCAGTTTTAACCTCGCCTGTGCTTGTATGGTCAGTACTCCCAGCTGGACTTAAATTATGACAGTTTAGCTTGTAATCTCCACGCGTTAATCCCTATGCCAAATTCCCACTAGTGCCCTTGAGTCACAGGGCAGCTTTGATTTTTAAGGAAGGCCATATGTTGGAATTGTTGATTTGAAATTCAATGGAAACTTGAGATCTACTCAAAATTGTGGGAAAAGTTAATTACCAGTACTTCATTAGCTCAACATCCTACATATATGATCTGCTGATAGATTCGAAAACCAATTCAAGAACGAAAAAATTTATTATTAAGACATGTTAACTTTTCTGAATAACAGTCTCCATTGTCTTCTGTCAGTTAGCAGATATTTTCATACCTATTTACCTGCATATATATTTTGCCACGTCTAGATTTCTGCTAATGGCTAAAATCAAACTTGAAAGTATTTTTTTAATTCTTTTGACTCACCTTTTTTTGTGTTATCCTCAGTTAAACTGTAATGTGCTCACACCATTTTTGGATTATCTAATATCATAAATAATAAATGCTTCTATAAAATTAGTTATTCATACTATTTTGTGTAAATTGAGGAAGAAGTTATTTTTCATTTATAAGTAGGTTTTCGAGACTACCAGTAGATCATATATATAAGATGCATTCACCCTGCTTCATTAAGATGATGAAGGACTATAAATTGAATTTTCCCATACTACTATGACTAGACCTGTAGATTCCATTATATTTCGCTTAGCCTTGCTTCCCAGAAGGTCTGACTACCACTGGGGTGCTGATTAGGCCTGGATGAGAATTCCTTATGGCAAGCAAGGCTATGCGAAATCTAATGGTAACGTCAGGTATACTCATATGATTTTGAGAACAAATTTAGTTACCAGTCCTTCTGCACATTTCGCAAAATGTTGTGAATACAGCTCTTATACAAGATATAAAGTTAGTCTTGAAAACCTACATATAGACGGAAAATAAGTGTTTCTTTCTCTGAATATTGTGCACTGAGGTTAAACCTTAGTAAGACGATTGTATTATTTGATTTATTCTACCTTTGATTACATTTTAGCGAGAAACAACAATCACACTTCCGCGTTTTAGTTATGTTTTAGCTAAAACTTTAACTTTACGAACTTAAAAAGTAACCGGTGTTTTACACAAAATAATACTTAGAAAGCCACCTAGTTTTCTACGATGCCGATATACAGGCATCATGTCGTAAAGGCACATCAATGAAAAAATAATTTTCAGCCTATTTAGTTCATCAGTAGAACTATCATACCTTGACATGTGGCATTAGCAGTTTTCCCGACATCCCTATTGGACCCCCAGCCGCACTGATTACAGCACCTTCGGGACCGACGTAAAGATGGGTTGCCTGATGAGGCAGCAGCATGGGCTGGCGTTGCGGATAAAGTTGTTGCAGTTGATTGCCCCTCGGCTTGGCTATAGCTGGGTGCCTGCCACGTCTTGTCAAGCTAGCAGGACCATTTGTTTCAAGAAGACCTCGGGTTCGTTCATCATTCAGTCTAACGTCTATCCCCGGTATATTTCCGGTAGGGACACCGTCTAGATGGGATAACTCTGGCATACGAAATTGACTATTTGATGGCTGACAATTGGCTTCGAGAACAACCCAATGATCGGGCTGGATATGCACCTGAAATTCTGTTGTTCCCGTCTGATGGGCCATGTCAGATCGATTCAAGTCCCCGTTGGCATCTTCTGGAGAGAAGAACAGGAATGAATAAAATGAAAGGCGCTGAGATTAGGAGACGTGTTAATAAAAAATATAAACAGGTTAGGTATTTTATTTATTTATTTAGAGTTTAAAAAATTTACGATTGAAATAATAAATTTATTTATTATTCATCCTCTATCATTCCTCCCATAAATATAAAGTGATATTGATGCAAAATTAAAGATTGCTTAACAGATCACAGAAAAGTAAGTTTGTAAAATGTTGTCAAGTTTGCTCATCGTACTTTTATGAAACTTGATGAGAATGTTGATAAGACCAGGTTGAGATAAACCCATACGCCCTTAGTGATAAAAAGCTGTGTGAAATTAAATGAGAATTTACTCACCCTAAGTCACTTGGAGCGATTTAAGGACAGAAAGTGAGATTTTTCCCACAATGGTATGAGAAGGCTCTACGCCGCCCTGCCTCCCATAATGTTTTCCCATCCAGGATGGACTGCAGTTGCGGCCTCCCCCAGATCTCTTCAGTAAGGACAATTGAAAGTTGGATGTACTCATCGTCGGGACAAGTTACCCACAGTTTCATTGGGTCTTAGGACAGATTTGATTTCTAAGCAAGCCAGATCTTTTCCAAATCAGATTCATAGTGGGATTGTTGACATTGTAATAGTCTGAAATCTAGTCCCATCGAAGCTAAATAGCATCGTTAGAATTCTCATTAGTTCTTAGGCAGCATTATCATCGCGTAATGAATAAGAAAAGCTACCCAGCGAGAAGGTCATTTTAAAATTTGATGTCCTCTTTATGAAAGCATAAACTTTAAAGTGCATAAATCACCGATCGGCTGATGGCATATATTTTAGCTTAGCATAGGTCGCGTTAAACCCTCGACAAAACTGTTATGAGCAGTAGACAGCTATAATGAAATGTATTCCCACAATTTTGTTTAAGGTGATGAAGGACTGGTAGAAGAAGAATTTTCCTACAATGATATGAGTTGAGCTGACGTTTCCATTTAATTTCACATAGCCTTGCTTCTCCAAAGTTGTTCTTATCCAGGGTGGACTGCAGTTTCGACCTCGCATCGGTATTATCAACACCCTCAGCGGGAGTCGAACCGCGATAGGGCAGGATGGGAGCTTGACACGCTAACCACTCGGCTACACTTCCACGAGCGCCTTTTGGGTCACAGGGCAAATGTGAATTTTTAAAGGAAAGCCAGGCCTTTTTGCCATATCATAAACTTTTGGTGGAATTGTCGATGAAGCAAACGTATATCTGCTATAACAATCGACTACTATACTTTATTTTTCGAATAAAGTATTGTTTTCGTGACTACCAGTAAATCAGTAGTATGATATGTATTCACCCAATTTCGTTTCAGGTGACCCAAAGGCACTCGTGGCAGTGTAGCCGAGTGGTTAGTGTGTCAAGCTCCCATCCTGCACTGTCGCGGTTCGAATCCCGCTGAGGGTGTTGGTAAGACTGCTGCGAGGTCAAAACTGTAGTGTACTGGTGACTGGATGAGAATAACTTTTGGGAAAGCAAGGCTATGTGAAATTAAATGGAAACGTCAGCTCAACTCATATCATTGT